ATCGTATAAGCTGGGAGAATGTGATTTGTTTTGCTTTTTGAATTTGGTAGTAAGTCCAAAGCAACCTGTCCTAATGGAGAGGTGTAAAACATGTACTATTAAAGCTTTCTTTACTGATGTTTGCAGAACCATGCCTTTGTGAGTTTTCAACACTTTTAGGCTGAAGTCCATCTTAGCATTTAGAAGGCTAATGAGTGTGTTCATCCACAGTCAAACTAGTCCTGTGGAGTTTCAGTGGAATTGACTTTGATGTAGCTAAAGGGAAGAATTTAGCGGTAGGGTTGAAGAGTTCTGATCAGCAAGAGGTCCCTGTGCAACTAGTGCTGTTTGGAAAATAGAAAGCTGTAGATAGAAGTAGAGTTCGTCATTTCACAGCCTCTAAATATAAATAAGTGGAGAGATTATATCCAAGAATTATTGCTATAGTAGAACAGCCTGTGAAAGAGACAGATTGTCGATGTTACAAAATGTACTTTTTCTCAGATATGTCTTTGGTAGTGAGAAGTGAAGTTCTTTCCCAGTTTCACGTTTATATTCTTCATTGAGCTCTGAAGCCAGCAGATTTGGTTTCAATTATCAGCCTAGAAGAACTTTGTATAGAACTAACTTTCTTTTTTTTTTTTCCCCCCAAATAAACAAGCAAAAACGTTAGCGTTAAGAGGGGAGTTTAAAGAATAGCTGTAAAAAGCCTTTCTTTGACCACTGCATCTTAAGCACCCTTTGTTGCTTTGGTGGAGTGCTGCTCTTAGCTTCTGCCAAGGCTCTTGGTGCAAATATATCAAGTCCAAGCAAGCCCACTGGAAAATGCTGTTTCTCCAGGTTGCCATGACCCATGTCTTAGCACATTAACAAATATCTCTTTCTCATCTCCTGTGGATGCAGTCACGTTCCTCGCACCTTACAGTACTTCCCTTTCCTGCTCCCTGGTTCTTGATGTGCTCTCACAATGCTGTCCCTCCATCCTTCTCTGTGGCCACATGGAAGTGTAGCCATCTCAAAAGTCAGTCCTTCATCCTGGAGGCAAAGTCTGAAAAGGATTACTTTAGTTTTGCAGCCACTACCCTGCACTACTTAACCACTATGGCTGAGGTAGTGCAGCAACTCTCCCACCCCACCAAAGTCTTGTTGCAGCTCTCCCAGCGTAGCTCAGCTTGCAGAACGGTGGAATGAATGCAGTGGCTCAGAAATAAATGACACACAGCTTGTAGCAAGCATTTCTTCTGCTGCTGTCTCCTCCAATGTGTGGAGCCTCATGCCTTGTATCTAAGCAACCCCCATCTCTTGATTTGTGATTGGCAGACTGTCTCTCCTGCTACTACATCTGGGTGTTCGTACTGACAGTTTTCCACTTATCTTATTTAGCCAGCTGTTTGCAGACTACTGATGGTTTGAAAGAAGCAAGAGCAGCCCCACCTTTTTTTTTATGCATAACCTCCCGCCTTTCCATGACCCTGGTCAGGGTTGAGGAGCAGGCCTGTACGAGGTGACCATCCTGTTGGTTGCAGGCCGCGGGACCTTCCCGGGGCGCAGCATCCTGCCGAAGCCGTGTATCTCTGCTGGCAGGAGCTGCAGCCAGGGCTCAGGCTCACTTCTGGGCTGGACTGAGTTTCAGAATGAATATGTGGTGGGATGGCAGGTAATAAATCATCTGCAGCAAAAACAAAGAGTGAACCAAGCAGTCTCAGAAGCTATATGGAGGCAATCCGTCCATCATCAGCCCGCAGGTTACAGCCCAGGTGTTAACAGGGCAGTGTATTTATTACCTCATTATTATTTGCAGCCAGTCAATCCAGCCTTTAATTAATGCCCCCCTCTCTTCCCCCAGCCGTTGGCCACAATGCTTTCTTGGAGCATATGTTTATAAAACTACATACTGTGCTCAGAAGGGAAATTCAGAAGTGTTTGTATGAAGCCTGCCTGGCATCCTAACTACTACTGTGAAAATTCGTGGTGTACGTGGCTGATGGTCTGAGACTTGCCAGAATACTACCTTGTCATGTGCCTGATAGTTTTGACAACTGAATTCCTCTTTATGATTTTGTGTGTGTATAGGCATAAATCCTGCTGCCTTTCTACTCCCTCCTCATTCAGTGGCAGTTCTCATTTAAGATGTTCTTGTCCCCTGTTCAGTTCCCTCAGTTCCTGTTCCGTGTGTGCCCTCTCATGAGATTCAGCTGATACAATGGAGGTGCTCTGAACTGAAATGATGCAATTGTAAAAAAATATCTCCCTGGAAGAAAAAAATATTCTTCATTCACCTCTGCTCCTTGGTGAAGAGATAAATTGCTGTTTATTTCTGTAATTGTTGAGCTATGATGCTGCTGAGGAGACCTCTGTAATGTCATGTAAGTCCAAGGGCACTGTCCTTTCCACAGTGCTCCCTCATGAAGAAAAAGAATGTGCCCATTTGTCCTGAGTGTGCTGGTAAACTCAAATCTGAATATGAGTTACTGGGATTCTTATATTCTCATTGATTCTAGTGTGGTTTTGTGACAAAAATTCAGAATTTGGAACAATGATTTATGCTTTCCTAAATTCAATTTTAAGGTATTGTCTCAGTTACGTAAAGGGCATAATGGAAAATTCGAAATGGAAAGTACCTTTAAGTGCATATTCCTTCAAACCAAGCGCTTTCCACTTCATTTCTGTAGAAATACAGGAAAATATGTCTGGATCAGGACTTGTATTAATATGGCAAATTTTAGTCCAGAAAAAATTAATGTTGGAATTTGATTTGAGAAAGCTCTCATGACTGAGTGATGAAAGATAAACTTTAATAAAAACAGAGGCTGGAGGAATGCTCCCTCATAGCAGGGCTGTTATTGCTGTTATTGTCATCATCAGCACTGAAGACCTGGTAGGGCATCAACAGTTGGGAGACCTAGCTGGGAAGAGCAGAGGGCCTCTTCACTCTCATCTGTGTCCCTCTGGTGAGGCAAAAGTCCCCCTGAGCCTCAGGGTGGTCCTTGGCTGGTGTTGCTTGTGAGTGTGCATTCCATGAGAGTCCACTGAGGTCAGTGGTGCTGTGTGGTAACTTCATGTACATGTGTGTGATGACAATAGCAAATGATAACAGTCATTGAATCAGCTGAGGTTTTGGGGGGTGGGGACTTTTTTTTTTTTTGTTTTGTTTCGTTTGTTTGTTTTTGTGTTTGTTTGTTTGTTTGTTTCTTTGTTTGTTTTGTTTTTTACCAAATCACTTAAATAAGAGCATTGTTAGTGACTTGTCTCAGCTTACTGGAACGATTTCTCTTTGCCTTCCTAAACATCCCAGTATCTAACAGGCCATTCCAAGTGCAGAGAAACAAATGTGTGCGTTACTACTTTATTGGTAACTCATCACAGCACTTCCCTCTGTGACACAGGGCATGTTCAGTTTTTCCCAGACAGTATCAGTCTGTCGTTCTTGGAGAGGATACTGTAAGTATAATCCGTCCAGAGACGGCTCTTCCAGTTTCCGAAGTGTATTGCTAATGAGGATGCACATAGGATGTAATCACTGGCAGGAGCCTCTGCTTCGGGGTACAGCGAGGCCAGCAGACAAGTAAGCGGCCAATTTTATCTGGCGGTTTGCTCTCCCTTTTATCAGAGCTGTTTGGCCAGGGTTCAGGGGTGTTAGAGGGAACCGCAGAGGCTTTGGCTAGTAGAATTGACTGACAAGGTGTGAGAGGACATGAGACAAAGCCTAAGAGCAGCAAATATCTGAGTGTTGAGAGAGGCAGCTTCGCATTTCACTGCAAGAGCTGGTTTGGTGGTTGTTTTTTTTCTAAAAACACTGAGGACTTCTGGCTGAGCTTCGCTGAAGAGATACAGATATACCAGGCAGTAGGGCTGGTCAAAACTAACATCCGTTTTTAATAACCCCTATAACCTCATTAATTCGCAGATGCTTTGCTGCCAGTGTGACTTAGCCTCAGCAGACTGCTGCCACAGATAAAAGGAAAAACACCATGTTTTAATATGAGCGGGAGTTATTTATGGCAGGTGCAGGAAGTTTCCAGTGGGTTGCAGTGGATTTTCGATGTCAGAAGGGAAAAACTCTTTAACAGTCAGGGCATTATGGCAATTTGAGACTACTCACAGCCTGTGTTACTGGATTAAATGCTATCTGCAACTCCCAGGGAAGTCCTGACAGCGTGTGGGACAGAGTACCCTTAGCCTCAAAGAAGAGTCAAGTTGTGACGTGTATTAGACGAATGTTCCTTGCACTGCTTATGTGGGGGTTGTGCATTGTTACCGGCTCCATGCAAGTGGCAAAGGATGTATCTACAGCATGCAATGGGATACGTGGTACAGGCATGAAATATGTGAGCTTGGGGATGAACTTGGTGCGTGAGACAGGGTGCAGAGCTGTACAGCTCCAGAGACATTGCAGCCACTGCTAGCTCAAGTGTCTGTGCCCACCATGCTGTTGCACAGAGTTAGGCTGGAAGAGGACATGTACCTCAGTTCTCCTGCTGGATTTTGATGATAGGTCAAAGCCAACCAACAGTTGTTATAAGCCAAATGGTAATCCTATATCAGCCAGTTGTTGAAGACAGAGCTTATTATGCCTTCTCTTAAACCTTTCCAAATGATGTGAGAGCCCCTGTTTCCTTCTGTCCTCTGTCCTCAAGAGGACTACTGGTAAGAGGCAGTCCCAGCTGGAGCAGGGGTTAGTGTTAAGGTGTTGCTAGCACAAGTGTCCACCTCATGTCATTAGGATCAAGTTGACTTTGCCACCCTGTGACCACATATTATAGAGGCAAAGAGCTCCTGTAGCCATATGAAAGTGAAGATAACCTCAGATTCCTTCTCTCTGTCTGAAATGTTGTAATCTTCTTCTGGAAAAGCTTAGCTTTGGAACTGGCTTTTTGCAGTGGGGTCAGTAGTCCACCCCTCCAAGCTGCAGTGATGGTACAGGGTGTATTGATTCTTCCTGAGTCTTCTTTGCTCTTTAGCGTCAGTTTTCAAATGTATCAAATCAACTGTGTTGTTTTTTTTTCTTTTCTCCTGTGCAGTGTTTGAAAATAAAGATAAGATTGTGATCATCATGGAGTATGCAAGTAAAGGAGAGTTGTATGATTACATCAGTGAGAGGCGTCGACTAAGTGAAAGAGAGACAAGACACTTCTTTCGACAAATAGTCTCAGCTGTACATTACTGCCACAAGGTGAGCAAAGGACATGATGCTAAAATATGCTATTTGGAGGCTGATTAGTGACATATTTCAAAGTGTGTCTGAGGCAACAGCATTCATTATTATGTGTCACAACATGTGATTCTATCAGTACAACAGATCTTCATTAAAAGTGCTACTGCCTGTTTTTAAAGACTAAGGATGTTTTCCTGTGTGATGGCAGATACCAGCTACTCCCTTATGTTACATTGTATTTTTGCCTTGGAAATAATTCTTCTGACCAAACCAAACCAAACCAAACCAAACCAAAACCCAAAACAATATTAACTAGAAAAGGCATCCCACAGAACTTCTACTACATTAACATTAATACACTGAAACAAATTATAGTTTGCAATTTGAATATGCAAGTGAACAACTTGAGGAAATAAATGTATGAAAGAAGCAAGCCAAGAGAAGGTACGAGTGTTCATGTATAAGCTTTAGCATGTGCTCATTCCAGGTAGAAAAAAGTAATTTTTCCAGATGTAGTAAGAGCACTAGACAGATACCCTTTGCTAATGACTTTATCCATGGTGGTACCCACTAGAATAACAAGTTAAGCCCAAGGTAGCTGACTGGCTGGACCTTATATCCCTGCTTATGAACTAACTGCACAGAGCGAAAAGGTTCACAATGCTAAAAGCAATGAGCAGCCTATACAATTTTTCATTTGAATTCTTATACACTTGAGTTCTGATAAACAAGTCCATTAATTTTTCACAGATTTCTTTAAAGCAGGCTCTGAATTAAACCCATCTTATTCGCTTCCATCCCTAACATTTACAGTCCTTTAGGATTATAACTCCCCCATCCACGTGGCTGCACGTTGGAGGAATGGCTTTTGTAAAGACAAACGTCATTGACAGATATTGTTTTCTGGTGCCTGGGAAGAATATATTGCTTTCACACAGTGGGGGCAGGATCCAGGCTGGAATTAAGTTCTGAAAAGACACCCCCCAGCCCTCCACTCCCCCACGCCCCCTACTGTTTTAGAGGCTTTGTGGGAGGACAGATTCCCGTCATTCTTCCCTTAACCACACACCAAGTGACTAATACATCGCCTGTCACTAGTTACTGGGCCATGAGTGTTATGACAGTGAAATCAGCCCTGAAATGTAGATGCAAAGACCACCCTGCCAGCTCACCTTTAATTTTCCCAATATTTTCTCATTTTCTTTCCCATTTTTTTCTTCCATTTTAGAATGGCGTTGTCCACAGGGACCTAAAACTGGAAAACATCCTTCTTGATGACAATTTTAATATTAAGGTATGATTCTTTTTCTCAGCTTCTTGGTATGGATTTGTGTGTTTTGTAAAATTTTATTCAAGGTATTAGAAAATCTAGTGTTATGGCAACAGCTACTAAGCAACTGCATCTGGCAAGAGGCCTAGTGGTTTGGAGGCTGGGAGAAGAGCAACACTGTTGAGAAGTCATATATGCTAAATGAGCTTTGCATAATTTGGGGGAGAAGACCCTGTCCTGCCACCCAAAAGCAAGCAATTCCCAAAGCCGTATCTGTTTACTGGTCGAAAACAGCAGAACACTTAACACAGTCAGGTTTATTGTACAAATGATATTATTGCTGGCTGCTGCTGGGGCTAGGAAAAAAACTCTCCTGGTCTACAGGGTTCAAGTGCCTCCTACAGAACACTCTGAAAGTTCTTTTGATCATGGCTGGAAAATAAGCAAATGGAGTTTCAAAATAAACCTCGTAAAGCACATGTGCTTCATTAGGAAATGGCCTTGAAACTCCAGACATAAACGTATACTTTGGATAGTGATGTCAGTGATATCATTTCCATGTCATTTCTCCCCAGTGAAAGCATGGGAATGACCTTTTTTCCCTTCTTCTTCTTTTTTTCCTAATAGCTGTGGCATAAAAGTAGTGTAGAGATGAGTGTAGTTTCTAGGTGGCCGAATCTGTTTCTCCTCGAGCTTTGTTCCTCCCTGGATGGCTGGATGTGAGAGTGGCTGGGTGTGCTCATCTATGGGCAGACAAATGGAGGGAGGGACCCCAAAGAGTTTCTGCTGATGCTTGGGCATCCTTGTTTAGTTAAGAAAGTAATTGAGGGGCTCCTTGCATAGCCAGATATCTAAATAGTCTGGATCTTCATTTTGTCTCCACGGAAAGCCGTGGGGCTGCACGCACTACCTTCTGTACTTCACTCTGGAGAGATTGTCTTCATTTTAAGCTGATGTGCAATGTTAATGGAAAGTAACATATGGTAGCTGCCATCTGTGTAATGCTGATGACAGAAGCTAACTTGGATCAACTAGTGGATTAAAGGCACATAAATGTGTGGCATCTAAAAATAGGCTTTTACAGAAGGCCCCTCCAATGCAATACTTGGACATTTTGCTGTTAACATCCAGTGTTGGAGCAAACCTCCCCATGCCTGCTCCTACAGGGACACTGGCTGCAGGAGCTCGAGCTGTTCTCAGCAGTGCTAAAAACAAAAAGTAGCCTTTCTAGGACATTGTATATGAAACAGGCTTCCGCAGGCAGGATGACCTTTCTTTCCGCATTACGGCCAAACTATCTTCCCAGCTAATCAGAGAACTCTTGAGAGAAAAGAGGAATTTGTGGAATTTGCTAGCTGCAGTGGCCTGCATCTCCACACTGTGGTCCTCATATGCAAAACCAATCACTTCCCCAAGCCTCCAGGGAGCTGTGCTTTGTCTGAAGGCTCCGCTCCCTCCCCTGTCTTCTTTATGGGAGTCTAATCATCCTCTGGGGAGAGCGGCAGGAGGGGGCAGGGATGGGTGGCTGAGTAAAGACTGTGGAGGTGACCGTGGGGCTTCAGAACCACAGGTGCAGTTCAGCTGCCGTACCCAGTGGTACAGCTCTCTTTTTTTTACACCTCATGGCTAAGATAATCTTTGAATACTTGATGTGAAGCACACTGCCACTATTTCCCTGATGCTGAAGCTTTGTCTGTGTTACTGTGGTTTCTGTGTTACTTCCACAGAATTATGTTTCCCGTTTTGTTTCACTAAACAGTAACCGTTGGCAAGGAAACCCATATGGAGTTGTAAATTATGTATTAGGAGTAAATTTATCAGGTCCTCTTTCTGGGAGTATTTATATATGATTTATTCAGGCAGAAAAAAAGAGATATGCAGTTTGGGATTCAGTATTGACTGATAGCTTCAAGAACTCAGTGGAAAGTGTTTTCTTGAAAAGGAGTGATAGTCTTAGCTGTACTTTCCCAGTATTTATATTTCATTCAGTGGATTACAAAGCACTTACAAATTGGCAGTTTGATTGTAAAAGTGAGAAAATTAAAGGAATCCCTTTGGTTTTGGGTGCAACGTGCAATTAAATATGTGTGATCTATACAGTCTGATATACGAAATCATGTCATAGTAATGTGAAGAAAAAAATAAGATGTTGTAAAAATAGATCCGTGTATAGCAACTTAAGCAATACTTTTAGAACAGGAAATAAAGAGAACAAGTAATCCATTAGAAATTATTATTCAACCTAAAAGGGGCCCAAGACATTTTACATGATACTACACTCGCTTGAAAACTGTTCTTCAATTTTAGCTAATTAAATGAAAATCTTGAAGCAGCGTATGGAGATATAATTGGCTTTTTTAAAGGAGTTACGATAGTAAGAAAAGTCTCTGGAAATGGAGTCATGTGTCCTAGTAGAGCAACTAGGAAACACCAGTGTCTGGAAACTGACAAAGAAATTCACATTTTGAAGAGTTCTGCAGGTCTGCAGGCCAGGAAGGTGATGGGGGGAAGAAAGGGATCTGATCTGTGGTATGGAATTATGTTTTTCAGGGACTTGGTGTATGTGGTAGTATTTCCTGCGCGGTATTACTTAAAACCCCTAAACGCAACAAACACAAGTGAATAAAATGAGTTTTAAACACTTGTGAGGCTGAACTTGCACACAGATCTCTGGGGTACAAAGAGTTCATCCAGCCAATTAATCAAACGGTCACTTTACTCCCCAGATAGGCACCCAACTGTCCAGCAGAAACCCCGAGTGTGAATGTTTCTCCTGGGACCTAGCCTGCCTGTGGGGGTCAATAGTGGGGCACAATCCTAGAGCTAAACCTTACGAAGACACTGCAGCCTCCCAGGGCAGAAGAGCGTAGTTTGCTTTCTTGCCTTGTTCATGGTGCCATGTTGTTTAAAGAAGTAATGCAGCAATGAATTTAAGGTTTCTGCTGCATGTTCAACCCTCTTCTTCCTCACATTGATGTGCCAGCTGCTAACAGCACAGTTCACCTTAGAGTACTCTGTTCTCCTTTCAGCTGCCTGCACTTGATGACTTCCACCCCCCAGTTCTAGGTAGCCTGGACCTGCCCCCTCTGCTCGCCCCAGGTTCCCAGAGATGGGTACAGCTGCTGCCCCCACTGCACAATGGCAGAGCAGCCTCTTGCTGGCATTGTCATCTCATCAGGAGGATCTCATTGTTCATAATCCTAAGGCAGCTGGAAGTGGGCAGGGTCAGACAGGCAGCAGGGCTAAGGCAACCTCAAAGGACCAAAAGAGCTGCCCTTTGTGGGACGAGATTCGTGATAGCTGTGGGCATTTGCCTTTGGTGGTCTCCAAAAAAGCCTTCTGGTGGTGCTGCCTTCTCTTCATTAGTTCTAAGAGGACTGAGGATGTTACTTTTTGGGTTGTTGTAGGCATGAATTTACTAGAAGAAATAGCAGTGATGTGAGGATGTAGTTGTCTCCATTTGCCAATAACTGCTGCAGTCTGGCCTGATGAGAACCACACGTCCCCAAGCACTGCAGCTCTTCCCAGTGTTTAAATCTCTAAAACTGCATTTGGGGAGGCTTCTGGACTGGGAATTGCACCTAAAAGAGACGTCTAGCAGAGGCTGATGTAAACTATGTGATCAACCCCAAAGTGATAGAAGGAGAGAAAAATGCAAGTATAATAGTAATATAATCCTACTAACTACACTTTCTCTTGGGCTGGTAAGGGGACACCAATCAGACTAACCACTGAAAACCCATGAGGGTTTCATATATACAGAGTAAGTATATGTAATTGGGATTTACCTTGCTGGAAGTCTCACTGACTGCACATACGTTTCATTTGCTTTAAGAGACCTAATTATTTCTTTATCTACAGTACAACGAGACAGATTCTGAAGTGGGGTAAAACTGACTGTTTCCATGAGTGTGAACTTCATGGAGTTTATAGTCCACACTTAAACAATAAATTACATCTGGTTTAACATAGCTAACAGTAAATATGATACATACACCTCCTGAGGCGAGGGGAATAAAAGTCCACTTCCCTGCTCCTCCCAATTTAGGAAGTTTTTTTGACTTGATGCCTTAGTTCCATTTAAGTGCCAAGAACATGAAGTAATGTTGGCTTCTATTAATCTTGTTTTGGGGGGCATGACAGTTTTAATGGAAAAAGCTGATAAACATCAGTCTGTGAGTATGGGAGTGGACTGTAACATAAATACTCTTTTCCTGAATGGTCAAAATGAGACCATGAATGCCCAAGTCTGAGAGTTTCTTAGTGTGAACAATGGTATGTGTATCCCTATATATATTCATGCACATCCACACGCATTTTATACATTCCATGGTGTTAAAGGAATGTATTTTCTTAAGGAATCACGCTGTGCAGTGTTTGTCCTTGTCTTAGCTGCATCCTGAACTAAAATAAAACTCAATGACCAGCACGAATTTTTAACACTGAAATGATCCCATTCTTCCCCTGATTGACAGGGCACACTTCATAAGGCTTAAAACCAACTTCCTGCAAGCCAGGCAGGGTGACTTGATAAGAAAGTGGAATTTAGGGCAATTAAGTGCAATCTGAGCCATGAGAATATGTTTGCAGACTGCAATTGTACACCAGCTGTTTTCAATGACATTCCAGCCATACAATGAAGATTTTACAAACCACATTGATTTAAGGGTTGTGTTTTCTGCTGTGGGTTGATAATACACTGTTCAAGGGACTGAGTGATTTCAAGCTATGAATGGACATGGTGGGATAAATTAACATTAATGAATATTAATCAACTGCTCTTTGAGTGGGATATTATGAGTCCAGATTGTCAGCGGAACACCTGCACAAGCAGAACATCTAAACAGCAGAGAGTGAAGTGTGAAGTCTCTTTGTTGCTCCGTGACTTCAAGATTTTTGTGAAAACGGTGTATTAAAAAAAGTTTATATTTCTACTATGAAAGTTTCTGTATATCCATATTTATAAAGTGTATGTTGGGTTTTCTGAGGGGGGGTGGTAAAGAGAAAATTGGGAGCTTCTGTCCATGCTTCACCAGCTTAGTTCATTTTGGTCTCAACTGCGACATTTTTAGGTGTGGCTGTAGGAGTTTAGATAGTAAAGAGAAAGGCTTTTTGTCTCACAGGAGTTCAGTACACATTGTAGTTAAACAGGTATTAGAGGCACTAATGATACACTTTTTAGAAAAAAAAACAAAACAAAACATCACAGGAGCGAGTGATGCTGCTGGTAAATCCTTTTCTTTTCCATTCACTTTGTGTTTTTTTCAATTTTCTTTTTCAAAAATTCCTTGGATTTAATTGCTTTGTAGTAGAAAAGACCCAAATAAGGTGAAGAAAACCCAGAGAAAACTACTTTTAGTAGCTATAATACCTTTTTTATGCTTGTGCTTTTGGTCTTTTGTGTACGCCTTGCGTCTGTAGTAGGCAGTAATAAAAGTATCTCTGGGAAACAGAAGCGTTTGGGTTTTAAACAAGATAAAAAATGAGATGTGTTGCCTTGTGCTAGAGGAACAAAGGAAATGCAAAGGCTGTGGGAGTATTTAGTGTTGCTATCCTCAGCCTTTGTTTTGTAAGAACAAGAAAAGAGAACTGAAGTAAACAAACTATTTGGACCTGATCCTGCAGTTCCTACGTGGGCAAAATTCCCAACAATTCTCAAGGGAAGTTTTGTTTGTGTGGGGAAAGCCGGATTTGGGCCCATTGTTTCCAGTTAGGAACCAGACGTGTTTATTATCTCATGATAGACATCTCGTGTGCTTAACAGCTCAGAGTCCTCAGCCGGAGTCCCTGAATCTGGAAAAGTTAATGAGTGCTTCACTTCCCCCTCCTTCAAGCGTAGCTAAGTTCCAGATGATTTAAAAAATCACTTTCTTCTGAAATGCTTAGTTTCCTGTGACACTCCTGCCTCACTCCTCCTGTTGAATTTAAAGGTTTTGGCTTTCAGCTTGCATATGCATGATAAGAATGGTAATACTTTCTGCTTGCTTTCCTTTGGTATTAATGATTATACAAGATGAAGAGCAGTCAGTGAACAGCAGGCCCAGTGTCTCCCAGACTGAGATTGTCTTTGCAAGCATATGCAATTCATCTAGGATAAAATTACAGACTGGTGGTTGTTGAGTCAGTCAGTGACCTGTCTGTGAGTGGAACCAAAGCATCCTCATTCCTGATCTGGAGGATTTAACCTGAGGACCCTTCTCCTTCTCTGGAGGATCTTTACAGAGAAAAGTAAAAAAATCATAGAATAATGGGTTTGCCAGGGAACTTGAGAGATTATCCACTTTGAAATCCCTGCCCTACAACAGCGTCAAATATATAAAGCTAAGTCTTTCCTGATAAAGGATTTTCTGTTGCATTAAGATATTGTTAATACTACAGATGCCTTGTGTCATTCTGTTTGCAGATTGCCGATTTTGGACTCTCCAATCTTTATCACAAAGACAAGTTTCTGCAGACCTTTTGTGGAAGCCCACTGTATGCTTCCCCTGAAATAGTTAATGGACGACCTTACAGAGGCCCAGAGGTAAGAAGGGTCAGCTTTTCTGTGGTGGTATGGGGATGTCTTTGGTGATAATCTTCTTGAGGGTTAGTCTTAATGCTACCATTATTGCATGTGGGTTCAATCGGGTCTCTCCCATACTGAAAGTTCTCAAGCTGCCTTCATTCGCTTTGATTTGCTTTGCCTGTGGTTAGTCAGATGTTAGATACTGGTTTACCCATCAATAGGCACAGCTGGATGTGGTGCTGGTCCTGTGTTGCTAATGGCAAAGTGAAAGGTGGGGATCGGCTTTCCTGGGCTTCATACACATTGTCTCTGTATTTCAGGTTGACAGCTGGGCCCTTGGTGTATTGCTTTACACTCTGGTTTATGGAACGATGCCCTTTGATGGCTTTGATCACAAAAATCTCATCAGGCAGATCAGCAGTGGAGAATATCGTGAGCCAACACAGACCTCAGGTATAAAAAAAGAGTGAGGGCAGCATATTGAGCTGACAGGAGTTCAGAATGGAGGGTTTGCCTGGCCCCTTCCAACATGTTTCAGTGTCCTATTAGAACAATGAGGGGGGAAAAAAAATCATTCCCTTACTGACTTCATATGCTATCAATTCCCATCTGAGTACAGCATTTGCCAAAAGCCCTTTTGAAATTAAAGTTTTGTAGCAGGTAGATTTTATTGCCTTGGGGAAGCTGTAACAGGCTCTTTTAACTAGATCTATGACAGTGGAAGGTCTGTTAGCTGTGGCAAGTGGAATTGTTCAGACAAGCTGTAAACCGATGCAACACACTGGTACAGGTCAATGCTCTAACTTCACTGTGGTAGAACACAAGAGGGTGTAGAGCTGTGGTCACAGTGATGCAGTCTCTTGTCCAAGAAGGAAAGCCAAAATCTGACTTAATGCCATGATGTTTGCACTTAACTTCTAGTTAGAGGATAGCACATTAATCAGTCATCTGGCAGAACAGCATCAACTAAGTCTGGGTCATTGATTATACTGACTCTTTCTAGTCTTAAACATCTCTCTCTCTCTCTCTCTCTATATATATATATGTATATATTATATTTAAATGAATATTCATCATTTGCTTGCACTCCCTTTAGCTTTTCTGCCTTCTTGCTTTCTTTATGAAAATATACCTTTAAAATATAGAGAAAACTGCACCGTTGATGGGAAAAGTAAATACAAAAGCAATAATGTGTACATCATGTGAAATATCCCAATTTCCCTTTGTTTTCCCTTAAGGTTTGTAATTACTAGAGTTTGTAGGTTGGTCACTGCCTTGAGTAATGTGGAACAATTCACTGGCTAATACTGTACAAATATTAATTTCTTTAGTAACCAAGTGTATATATCCTAGGATTAATCATATTCTTCTGATGAGTAGTATTCAAGTGCATTTTCCAAAGCTTTGCCCCCTTTCACTTCTCCTGTTATAAGAAACATTATATTTGCTTATTTGATGGGCTTCACGCTTTCATTTTAAACTGATAAAACTTAGAATGCCCATATTCTAAATATTTTATATTCCATTCCTTGTCCATAGATGCTCGTGGTCTTATCAGATGGATGCTTATGGTGAACCCTGAACGCCGAGCAACCATTGAAGATATTGCCAATCACTGGTGGGTTAACTGGGGCTACAAGAGTAGTGTTTGTGACTGCGATGCTGTGAGGGACTCTGAGTCCCCGTTGCTGGCAAGATTCATTGACTGGCATCACCGTTCTACTGGCCTTCAACCAGAGACTGAAAACAAAATAAAGTGCCTTTCTAAGCCCAAGGGTCCTGAGGTCACACTAGAGAGACAAAGGTCTCTGAAAAAATCAAAAAAGGAAAATGATATTGCACAGTCCATCCAGGAAGGAGGAGCTGAAAATGCATCCAAACCCACCTCCAAGAGACCCAAAGGCATCCTGAAGAAAAGGAGCAACAGCGAACATCGTTCTCACAGTGCTGGTTTCATTGAAGGAGTGGTCAGTCCAGTGCTACCTTCTGCTTTTAAGCTGGAGCAAGAGTTGTGTAGGACTGGTGTAGCCATTAAAAGTGTTGTGGAGGGAGAGGTAGGGGGAAAATATGGCACTAAGCAGTCTTCACTAATGCCAAAAAAAGGAATCTTAAAGAAGACTCAGCAGAGGGAGTCTGGCTATTACTCCTCTCCAGAACGAAGTGAATCTTCCGAACTCTTGGACAATAATGATGAGACAGTAAACAGTGATGCTTCTCCAGGGGTCCCAGAGCCATCCAGAAATGGGTCTTACAGCCATTCCTGCAGGCGTAAGGGCATCTTGAAACATAACAGCAAATATTCTACCAGCAGCACTGAATCAGCTCTGATTAGCCCTGACACACCAACACTGGAGGCCATGGAAGAAGCCATCCTGCCCGGGGACGCATTACCTCGAAGTTACAGTCGCCCTTCCAGCGTGATTAGTGATGACAGTATTTTGTCCAGTGACTCTTTTGATTTACTGGATTTGCAAGAGAACAGGCCAAACAGGCAGAGGATACGGAGCTGTGTCTCTGCTGAGAATTTCCTTCAGATTCAAGACTTTGAAGGACTTCAGAACCGCCCACGACCACAGTATCTGAAACGCTATCGCAACCGTCTCGGGGACAGCAGTTTTTCCCTTCTCACAGACATGGATGATGTGACTCAGGTCTACAAGAAAGCCCTAGAGATCTGCAACAAGCTCAATTAGCAGAGGGAAGATGGAAAGGGAGGGAAGGGAGTTTTTCTGTGTACCTTTATGGTGGAGTAAGCCAGGTCACTGATTTGCTGACAATGGTAGGTTTTGCTTCAAAGGAGCTGAATGTACCTACTTAGCTGAAACTCCTAGTAAAGTAGCCCCAAAACCATCTCATACTTCTCTAATTTTGTGCCCTCAAAATATTGCCTACCTGGCCAGAGAAGTAACTTTGGTCTCTGTATACATGATGAAAGCACATCAGGATCTAGCAGACAAAAGCGTATCAAGTTTTGATGACTTGAAGTCAAAGCTAGACAGAATTAAAACTGGAAGTGAGGGACACATGTTCTGAGAGGTTTGTAATTAATATTAGATTAGATTTATCAAGAGAGGAGCTGAATTCTTCAAGTCAGTTTTGGATATCTTTTAGAAAGCCTTTATTTTCCCCTGAAGTTATTAATTTGGATACAGTCATTGCACATTGGGAATCTTTGGCTTGCATTATGCAGGAGGCCAGGCTAGGTGGTCACCATGGTGGATGGGACCATGGTGACCTGAAAGGTTCCGAATGCATAACATATGGACAGATAATTTGAGAGACTCACCCCAGAAAAACATCACAAGGTGTATAAGGGCAAGTTGTGGAGCAGGCATTCAGATCTGACCCCTCCCACAGCCATTGCTCTTCAGTGAGCAGGAGGTCCTAAAATGTTTTCCAACTACCACTCCTGTGAGCAAAAACAAAGTCACAGACACAATAATGGGAACTGGAAGGAATGGACGTTACGAAGCAGCTTAACAACCTTATAAGGCATTTCAACCCATGTGTTCCATTTGTGACTCTATCAAAATGGCCAGCCAGATGAATGCCCAGACAAAGACGGATGTAACAAAGGGTCTCAAAGGTGAACTGACCCTCCAATCTAGAGTTCAGTCACTGTCAGCAAATGGTGCCACCTTGCTGTTAGCTTGTAGTATTTGAGGGTGACAAGTAGTTTGTGACCAGAATGTTAGGTAAGGAAAAGGTCTTAGCATGTAGGAAATGGATAGAGGTCAGAAAGTTAGTGGGAAGATGCCTTTTTCCAAATGAAAATGTTTCTAGGTAGGTAGTAATGGAGCAGAAGCCATTGAGTGATGAAATGATAATAGTAGATATGATAACAGAGTTAGCATAAAATGACTGGCCTCTCCCTACATAGTGTAGCTGGTACTGCATGTGCAGTCATACCAGTTTATAAAAAAAAGGAAAAAAAAGGTTTTGTGTTCGTGTTCTCAGACATATCTAACTATCCAGACTGAAGGCTTGAACTCCCATAAAGGTACCACATGGGTCTACTGGATTACCTGAATGTAAGCCTATGTCAGAAAGGCACTGTGTGTTTGACAGGCCTGGGCAAACTGGAATCTTAAGGCTCATTTCAGTCTCATTTCCATGAGCACATAGTCCCTGGCTTTCTTGGAGGTGCACTGGTGTGAGTAAGTGGCAGGATTCAGCCTATGATGTCAAATAATCCACAGCTGCAAAACTTGTATCTACACACATACTCAGAGCAGAGGAGCATGGGGCAAGCTCTATTCTCACTCCTACCCTGTAACTGGAACTGAAAGCAGAATGTGGCCCGTTGTGTCCAAAATCCCAGAGATCATGTGGAAACGAAACGGAGTTCCTCTGGAGATTCCTTGGGAATTGGGGATGACCCCAGAAATCATTGGCATGTGGGGCAGGGAACTATTTCACTTGCAGATTCCTTATTGGGTGTATTATGGTACTTAAGTCTGCCAGTCCCGTCTAAAAATCAACTGGGCTGCCTAGCCTAAAGATGAATGGACTTGAATTTCCTAAATCAGTTAATCTGACTCTACGGAGAACCTTTTCTTATTGTGAAACACTGGACTAAATTTGGGTCTTGAGTAAACAGTATCAATATCATGAAATCTATGAGAGTCGTGTGCGCTCAGGTGGTCAAGTGAATTCTGGCTCACTGTCCATTTCATAGAATCATAGAATCTGAATGGTATGGGTTGGAAGCGACCTTGAAGTTCATCTAGTTCCAACCCCCCTGCCATGGGCAGAGACATCTTCCACTAGACCAGGTTGCTCAAAGCCTCATCCAACCTGGCCCTGAACGCTTCCAGGTATAGGGCATCCACAACCTCTCTGGGCAACGTGTTCCAGTGCCTCACCAACCTCACAGTGAAGAATTTCTTCCTAATATCTAATGTAAGCCTACCCTGTTTCAGTTTAAAAAATTTGCTCAGGAAGGGCAATTGCAGGTCATTTCTTTACAGATGTGTACCTCTCTGTATGATACTCAGATGTCCCATCTTCTCACAAGCCTTGCATGTACTCTTGTAGCCCATCCAAAATCAACACCCCATGTTGCAGTGTATTGAGTTAACATGTTTGCTGTGGTGCATTTTAAAACAACTCAAGGTGGTCTCCATGGCCTTTCTGAAGCAAGGATGTGCTTCACAGCCACGGCTTTTAACTCGTGCCCCAGAGCATCAGGGCCAGATCGTCAGCGGGTGTAAATCAGCACTGTCCCACTGACATGATGGAGCATCGCTTTGGTGGGGTTGTGCTGATGGACGCGTTTCCTGCAGGTCTGGTGCTAAACCTTGAATGGATTTACAGAGGTTTCAGAACAAAGGGAAGGGAATTCAGCTGGCCGTGGCAGGGAAGTGAGGAGCACCCTGGAGGCTCATATCTCCTGAGGCTTTTGCCCAGGCCTGCTTCCTTGTGTACAAATGTGAATGAGTGAGTGACTGCTTGCTGCCAAACTGGAAATGTTACGTAGGGATTTACTGTCATGTTACTGGCATGTTACATGTTTACTGGCATGTTATCATTCCTAGATGAGAAGAAAAAAAAAAAAAACTTGACTGCACATTGTTATTATTAGTGTTGTGATTTTTATTTAATTTTTTTGTAATACAAAGTTGACTTTTTATTGGAATTTGTCTTTTTTTTTTTTTATTTATTGGTCTGAAAGCCATTTCAAAGGTATAATAATATATTTGGTGTAATTTAATTGGTGCAACATTATTTTACAGCTCCAGCCAAAATTGTTTGGTGTTGTTTTTTTGGTTTTTTGTTTTTTCTCCCAATCCTTGGTTGGTTTGAGCTCTGCAAGGCACACAGGGGAAAACGCTGGATAATCACCCAAAGTATTTGTATTTTTAATCTGATCCTGTTTTTTATTAAATAAAATGAAATTAATGTAACTGTGAAGAGTCTCTTTCCCAATTTCCCTCTCTGCCTTTTCTTTTTCACTGTGCATCAGCATAAGCCAAGGCCAAACAGTAATGAACTTGTCATGCAGAAATACAGCAGCAGCATCTCAGCACATTGTACCAAGTTGTTTATGCAAAGCTGCTTGGCTCGTTTATGCATTTGAATTTAATGTGGGTGGCCACAGAGGCTCCTGTGCTACGAAGCGTTTGGCACCACAAAACAGCCAAAGCTTTCAGCTATAGAAATGCTTGGTGGGGAAGAATAGCTGACTGGGGTTGCTCTGCTGGAGATGAATGAGGTTTGTTGGCCAGGTGTGCTGCAGGTGAGACAAGAGCAGGCTAGCTGACCAGGCACCGCACAACCCATTTGTAGTCCAGAGACAGATGCCCACAGTTCTTTCCCCTCTCTGATGTCTCGAGAAGCAGTTTATTGACAATGTTAATGTTCTTCTTGGTGTAATTTAGAGGTTATTTGGGCTGTCCAGTGCTGTCAAGTGAGGGATGGTTTCACTCAGATGGCTTTGAGCAGCCGGCATAATTGGCTGGTGAAAAGGAAAAAGGGACTCAGTCTTCATTTTTTTGGAGTCTCTTTGATAACCATAAGGCGTTAGATTGTTTTTCTTGGAAGATGCATGGGCATCATAAGGGAAACTGGGAGTTAGGTATTCTGCGTGTGCTGGGGACTTGTTAAAATAAAGGAAACAGTTGGCAATGTCCTAATGTTGGCTCTGAGCAAGACACCATTAAACTTCACCATTGATGCAGCCAGCCAAGATACCTGTGGTTGTATATCCTGCTTTTTAAATTACAGGCGTTTTGGATTAAGATCCAAGGTTTGGATATCACACAAAAAAGGTTTTCGTTTTCCTAATTCATTTTCTCTCTCTTGAGCTTTTTAAAGCAAGAAGCCATGGCTGTAGGTACTAGATTTATGCGTAATGACCACTTAAAATCCAGTAGGAATAGAGGGAAAGAAACGATGCAGAAAGGCAAATAGCCATTAGTACATTACGAAAGGAACAATTAGCTGCTGTATGCTAGCTGAGTCAGAAATTGTGAGGTATAGGTTGAAAGTCAGCACACGTGTTCTTGTACCTGAGGTGAGTAAGGTCTAACTGTGTGACTGCTGGGTGGTGGAAAATGCAATGCAAGTCTCTTCTGCAATGGCAATCATGAAACAGCTTCTTGTGTTTTTGTTTTTTAACACACTGGGAAAAAAGTGAATTTGAGGGGAAAGCATTTGTTTTAAAAGTCCTGGATGGCCGGGTACGGTGTGCCTATGTGGCAAGCGCTGAGCAGTAACTGTGTTCATGTTCGCGCAACTCGGAGAGCGCATGCTGCTGAGACGAGGCGGGAGGAGAGTGTCTCATTTTCCTGTTTATGGAAGGAGATACGTGTAGAGTGATGTGCGCTAGCTGATGGTCTTGCACGCTTTCTCCATGGGGATTCTACTGACTTAGGAATTGTTGAAGTTTTATGGATTGGGTAGGACAGGGGCGAAGAAACAAGACGGGGCCCTGAGAGCTACACCACTGAGTGACAAGAGCAGTGTTGGGTCTTTTTTTGTACAGCCACAAATGGTCTTATTCATTATAACCCTTCCTGTAACTAAAAGTCAACACTCAATTTCTGATGCTGCAGTCTGGACGTGCACCTTATGTGATCCCTCTTGTGTCAGGGATCCCACTTACTTCTGTGGTAGGCTTGCTGAAGTCCAGGGTCTAGTTCAAATGAGCGGTACTGCTTGATGCTGAGCGATGCTTCCGTGTGTCAGTAAA